AAGCAGGAAACATCTCGAATAAACAACCTAACCTTGCACCTCAAGCAATTAGAGAAAGAAGAACAAAAAAACCCCAAAGCTAGCAGAAGGAAAGAAATCATAAAAATCAGATCAGAAATAAATGAAAAAGAAATGAAGGAAACAATAGCAAAGATCAATAAAACTAAAAGCTGGTTCTTTGAGAAGATAAACAAAATAGATAAACCACTAGCCAGACTCATCAAGAAAAAAAGGGAGAAGACTCAAATCAATAGAATTAGAAATGAAAAAGGAGAGATCACAACTGACACTGCAGAAATAAAAGAGATCATGAGAGATTACTACAAGCAACTCTATGCCAATAAAATGGACAATCTGGAAGAAATGGACAAATTCTTAGAAATGCACAACTGCGGCGAGCCGCCTCCAACCAGCAGAATGACGAGTCGCCACACGCAAGATTCTTCTCGTATCACACTTTATTGGAGCACAGCTTGGTTAAAGAAAAGATGGAAGGAAGACCCCGCAATCCTATAGCAGTCTGCTTATATAGGGATTAAGAACATGTGTCGCTCTGTGATTGGCTTTCGCCGATGGTGCGACTTGTGAGCCAGCATCGGATAGGTCGCTACTTTAAAACCTCATTAGTATACTTAGCGCAAGCGCAGTGGCCACAGGAAGGATGATTCAGCTTACTTCAGCTTCCTGCTGCGTGGCAGTTAGCTGACCGCGCCCTACACACAACCTGCCAAGACTGACTCAGGAAGAAATAGAAAATATGAACAGACCAATCACAAGCAATGAAATTGAAACTGTGATTAAAAATCTTCCAACAAAGAAAAGCCCAGGACCAGATGGCTTCACAGGTGAATTCTATCAAACATTTAGAGAAGAGCTAACACTTATCCTTCTCAAACTCTTCCAAAATATAGCAGAGGGAGGAACACTCCCAAACTCCTTCTACGAGGCCACCATCACCTTGATACCAAAACCAGACAAGGGTGTCACAAAGAAAGAAAACTACAGGCCAATATCACTGATGAACATAGATGCAAAAATCCTCAACAAAATACTAGCAAACAGAATCCAACAGCACATTAAAAGGATCATACACCATGATCAAGTGGGGTTTATTCCAGGAATGCAAGGATTCTTCAATATACGCAAATCTATCGATGTGATAAACCATATTAACAAATTGAAGGAGAAAAACCATATGATCATCTCAATAGATGCAGAGAAAGCTTTTGACAAAATTCAACACCCATTTAGGATAAAAACCCTGCAGAAAGTAGGCATAGAGGGAACTTTCCTCAACATAATAAAGGCCATATATGACAAGCCCACAGCAAACATCATCCTCAATGGTGAAAAACTGAAAGCATTTCCACTAAGATCAGGAACAAGACAAGCTTGCCCACTCTCACCACTCTTATTCAACATAGTTTTGGAAGTTTTAGCCACAGCAATCAGAGAAGAAAAGGAAATAAAAGGAATCCAAATCGGAAAAGAAGAAGTAAAGCTGTCACTGTTTGCAGATGACATGATCCTATACATAGAGAATCCTAAAGATGCTACCAGAAAACTACTAGAGCTAATCAATGAATTTGGTAAAGTGGCAGGATACAAAATTAATGCACAGAAATCTCTGGCATTCCTATATACTAATGATGAAAAATCTGAAAGTGAAATCAAGAAAACTCTCCCATTTACCATTGCAACAAAAAAATAAAATATCTAGGAATAAACCTACCTAAGGAGACAAAAGACCTGTATGCAGAAAATTAGAAGACACTGATGAAAGAAATTAAAGATGATACAAATAGATGGAGAGATATACCATGTTCTTGGATTGGAAGAATCAACATTGTGAAAATGACTCTACCACCCAAAACAATCTATAGATTCAATGCAATCCCTATCAAACTACCACTGGCATTTTTCACAGAACTAGAACAAAAAATTTCACAATTTGTATGGAAACACAAAAGACCCCGAAGAGCCAAAGCAATCTTGAGAACGAAAGAAGGAACTGGAGGAATCAGGCTCCCTGACTTCAGACTATACTACAAAGCTACAGTTATCAAGACGGTATGGTACTGGCACAAAAACAGAAAGATAGATCAATGGAACAGGATAGAAAGCCCAGAGATAAACCCATGCACATATGGACACCTTATCTTTGATAAAGGTGGCAGTAATGTACAGTGGAGAAAGGACAGCCTCTTCAATAAGTGGTGCTGGGAAAACTGGACAGGTACATGTAAAAGTATGAGATTAGATCACTCCCTAACACCATACACAAAAATAAGCTCAAAATGGATTACAGACCTAAATGTAAGGCCAGAAACTATCAAACTCTTAGAGGAAAACATAGGCAGAACACTCTATGACATAAATCACAGCAAGATCCTTTCTGACCCACCTCCTAGAGTAATGGAAATAAAAACAAAAATAAACAAATGGGACCTAATGAAACTTCAAAGCTTTTGCACAGCAAAGGAAACCATAAACAAGACCAAAAGACAACCCTCAGAATGGGAGAAAATATTTGCAAATGAAGCAACCGACAAAGGATTAATCTCCAAAATTTACAAGCAGCTCATGCAGCTCAATAACAAGAAAACAAACAACCCAATCCAAAAATGGGCAGAAGACCTAAATAGACATTTCTCCAAAGAAGATATACAGACTGCCAACAAACACATGAAAGAATGCTCAACATCATTAATCATTAGAGAAATGCAAATCAAAACTACAATGAGATATCATCTCACACCAGTCAGAATGGCCATCATCAAAAAATCTAGAAACAATAAATGCTGGAGAGGGTGTGGAGAAAAGGGAACACTCTTGCACTGCTGGTGGGAATGTGAATTGGTTCAGCCACTATGGAGAACAGTATGGAGGTTCCTTAAAAAACTACAAATAGAACTGCCATATGACCCAGCAATCCCACTACTGGGCATATACCCTGAGAAAACCAAAATTCAAAAAGAGTCATGTACCAAAATGTTCATTGCAGCTCTATTTACAATAGCCCGGAGATGGAAACAACCTAAGTGCCCATCATCGGATGAATGGATAAAGAAGATGTGGCACATATATACAATGGAATATTACTCAGCCATAAAAAGAAACGAAATTGAGCTATTTGTAATGAGGTGGATAGACCTAGAGTCTGTCATACAGAGTGAAGTAAGTCAGAAAGAAAAAGACAAATACCGTATGCTAACACATATATATGGAATTTAAGAAAAAAAATGTCATGAAGAACCTAGGGGTAAAGCAGGAATAAAGACGCAGACCTCCTAGAGAACGGACTTGAGGTTATGGGGAGGGGGAAGGGTGAGCTGTGACAGGGCGAGAGAGAGTCATGGGCATATACACACTAACAAACGTAGTAAGGTAGATAGCTAGTGGGAAGCAGCCGCATGGCACAGGGATATTGGCTCGGTGCTTTGTGACAGCCTGGAGGGGTGGGATAGGGAGGGTAGGAGGGAGGGAGACGCAACAGGGAAGACATATGGGAACATATGTTTATGTATGACTGATTCACTTTGTTATAAAGCAGAAACTAACACACCATTGTAAAGCAATTATACCCCAATAAAGATGTTAAAAATAAATAAATAAAATAAACAAACAAAAAAAATGGGCAAAGGACTTGAGCAGATATTTTTCCAAAGAAGATATGCAAATGGCCAATAAACACATAAAAAGATCCTCAGTATCACTAGTCATTAGGGAAATGCAAATTAAAACCACGATGAGATATCACTTCACATTCATTCAGATGGCAGTTATAAAAAATGAAACAAAACAAAACATCAACTGTTGGTAAGGATATGGAGAAAGTAGAACCCTTGTGCATTGCCCGTGGGAACAAAAACTGTGCAGCCACTGTGGAGAGGCGGTTCCTCAGAAAATTGAACATAGAATTATCAACACGGAATTATGATCCAGTAATTCCATGGGAAAAAACTGTCCACTGACAGATAAATGAATAGACAACACATGGAATATATACAAAAGGAATATTATTCAGCCTTAAAAAAGGAGGAAATTCTGAGACATGCTACAACACGGATGAACTTTGAAGATATTATTCTGAATGAAGTAAGCCAGTCTCTAAATGACAAATATTATATGATTCCATTTGTATGAGGTACCTAGAAGAGTCAAACTTCTAGAGACAGAAAATAGAATGGTGACCGCCAGGAGATGAAGGGATGGGAGAAAGGGGAGTTAGTGTTTAAGGAGTATAGACTTTCAGTTGGAGAAGATGAAAACATTCTGGAGATGGAGGGTGGTGATGGTTACAGAACAATGCAAATATACGTAATGCCACAGAATTGTAAACTTAAAAATGGTCAAGATGGTAAATGTTGTGTTATGTATATTTGACCACAATTTTAAAAAATCTATAAAAAAAAGGAACTCGGGCTTCCCTGGTGGCGCAGTGGTTGAGAGTCCGCCCGCCGATGCAGGGGACACGGGTTCGTGCCCCGGTCCGGGAAGATCCCACATGCCACGGAGTGGCTGGGCCCGTGAGCCATGGCCGCTGAGCCTGCACGTCTGGAGCCTGTGCTCCGCAGCAGGAGAGGCCGCAGCAGTGAGAGGCCTGCGTACTGCAAAAAATAATAATAATAAAAAAAAATCTCAAATAATCTTTTCCCCCTTAATCCTTATTTAGCAAAAACAAAAAAAGCTGACAAATTGAAAAAAATAATAGTTGATGATACTAATGTTATTGCCATTACTGGTCCATGAAATCCTAGAGGTTCAGGAGCTATTGTTCTAGTCTACCTGCTAACTTGCCTTCTGGTCTCCTCCATACCACTCCAGAATCATATTTCTGAGATCTCATCATGTTACTGTTTCAAACCCTTCAGAAACTCTTATTACTCATACTGCTGAAATCCAGGGGAGGTTGCATGCATCCCAAGTGTAACAAGATGATCCATGGGGTGCAAGAAGAAATCTAGAATTACACTTTCTATTAAATTTTCATTCTGTCATTAATAAGTACTTATTAAGTATTCTTCTGTGCCAAGGGCCATCTAGGTACTGGGGATAGGCAGTGAATAAAAGAATAATTCCCTGCCCTCAGGGAGCTTATACTCTAGTGTGCAACTTATAACCCACCTGACATATTAGTGCAGTATATAAATTATAGGTAAATAAATAAATAAATATACACTAGGGGTATACACTCCAAAAAAGATTTTTATTGAATAAAACTACACAATCAAAATGTTGGACATCCCTGTCTTAAAGCATAAAATCCAAATGCCTTGATATGGGACATGTGTTTTTCATCATTTTTCAACACTCTCTACCTCATTAGTTACGGCCTAACTTTTCCAAATTGCTGGCCATTTCTTCAGCAGGCCCTTCTGACCCACAGATCTGCATATGCACACCTTCTGCCTGAAATGCCCTCATTCATCTGGCAAACCAGTGCACTTCCAAGAGTCACTTTGATGACCTTTGCCTCATCCCCAAACACAGATTTAGTTGGATTTAGGCACTTTGCTTCCACGATAGGAACTGGTGTTTCCAAACGTCATGCCACAGACACTGTGGACACTGTTATTGTATTATCTTGGCAGGTATTACGGATCAGATACTCAAAATCCCCTTTCCCCCTTGCCTATCTGTACAATAAAGCCTGGAAACTTATCTTTCTAGACTCCCTTGCAGCTAGATATAATCATGCAGAACAGTCTATCCAGTGAAATGCAAGTGAGGATCCCTGAGGAATCCCACAGGCATTTCCTCCAATAAACCTCTTGCACATCTAATTCCAGGTGGCATCTTCTTCTCAGAAGACCCAAACTAACATATCAGAAAATTTGAGTAATTTGCCTGAGCTAATAGCATGGGTGGAATTTGAACGCATGTATTTTTCACTCCAAAGACCAAACAAGTTCTTTCCAACACACTGCATTATAATTTTGTATTGAGTTAAATAGTACCCTCCCCCGCCCCCCAAAGATATGTCTACATCCTAACTCCTGGAACCTGTGAATGTGACCTTATTTGTAAAAAGAGTCTTTGCAGATGTAATTAAGTACCTTGAGATGAGATCATCCTGGATTATGTGGGTGGGTCCCAGAACCAATGACACGTGTCCATGACAGCCACCATAAACTGCAAGAGGCAAGGAGATGTTCCCCTAGAATCTTCAGAGGGAGTGTGGCCCTGCCAACATCTTGATTTCAGCCTTCCAGCTTCCAGAACTGTGAGATAATAAATTTCTGTTAAGTGACTCAGTTTGCGGTAATTTGTAGCAGCAGACAAGAGAAACTAATACTAAATTTTTCTTGTTCTCTATCTTGGTACTAGCACCGAACCTGACACATAGTATATGTTTTAAAAGAGTGAATTAGTTAATAGATTAATACATGGGGATGATGAAACAGCTTGACATTGTTTCCAAGTAACTTGGACTGAACGTTATATAACTGTACTTGATGATAGATTTCCAGTATGAGGTTATCTAGGAAGAGAACTAATATTTATTGAGCGGCTGCTGTGTACCAGAAACCAAGATAAGTTTCATAAATTACATTACAGTAGGACTATTATAAATTATAGCGGTAAAGGCAAGGTTTTGGAGTCAAATGTGAACTCTGATTCTTATTAGCTGTATGACCTTCGGCAAATTACTTAAACTGTCTTAGCCACAATTTCTTATCGGAAAAGTGGGGAAATGAATCCTATCTCCCCACCCTGTTTTCGAGGATTAAAGGAGATAAATAGCTGAGCACAGTGCCAGGCACCCAGAAAATCTCAACAAACATGAGTTATTATGAGGGTAACATGGTCGTGGGTGCAGAGGGAGGTGCTGGAATTGGACCCTTACCTGAGAACAACAGGTGCGAAGTGCCGGCTTGCTGAGACGAGCCCTGTAGGTCACCTTGGCCTGTAGGAGGCAGTGTGGTTTAAGCTATCTTGCCACTACCCCCCCCCCCCGCCCCTTGGAAGGGCGCCTGGGGCAGGAGGGGGCTCTCAGCAGCAGGAAGCTGTCGGGGCGGGGGTGGGGTTACTTCCGGCAGAGGGCTGAGTTGGGGGCAAGCTGGAGCCTCGTCTCCACACCAGGGAGCAGGCAGAAGGAAGTCCCTCACGGAGCTCTCCAGAGCACGTACCAGGAGAGCCCGCATTTGGATGCCTGCCCGTACACTGGGAACAAAGGGCCGTCGGTGTCAAGTGGAGGCGCTGTTGTGACCAGCTGAGAGGGTTACGAGCTTACCACCGACAGTCTCGTAAAACGAGACCGGCCTCTCCGTCTTCCGCCCCCCACGCCGCAGCAGTGCATGCTGGGAAGCGGGAGGCGTTGCTAGAACGGGAAGAAGCCGGACCCCCCTCCAAAGCGCTGCTGTCAGCCGCGAGCGCACGTTCCAGTCCCTCGGGGAAACTTTGAAAAAAAAATTCTTGGTATGCCCTGATATTCCGATTTAACTGGTCTGGAACGGAACCCAGGCATTGAAATTTTTAATGAGCAGCCTGAATTGGGAACCACTTCCCTAAAGCCTGTGCTTGGGAGAAGGTGGAGGGTTGCCAGATTTAGCAAACAAAATGAGCGGTACTTAGATGAAAACGTTATTTATCTAGAACTCTAATTTCATTGGCACTCTGCAGTTTTAAGAGGGAAGGAAAAGTACTGGAAATGGACAGAAGGTTGAAATTTTTAAATGAACAGGGCAGAATCTTAAGGAATGAAAATAACCGTCTAATGATAAAAGGTGACTGAAACACTATGGAATTGGGCTGATCTGTTACTTAAAGGAGCAGCTACCCAGTGAGAAATGGGGGGTTTGGGAGTTTGGGAGCAATTTCAGGAAAAATAAACCGTTTCATGTTTATGACCCCAGTGAACTGAGATTCCCAGTAAACCAGTGCTATCACTCTGACCTTGCCCCAGAGATGAGCAAACAGAAGCCTGGAGAATTTACGTGATTTGTGCAAGTTCAACACAGCTGGTAAGTGACAGAGCCAGGATTTGAACCTAAGTTAATTTGGCTCAAAAAAAAAAAAAGGGGGTGGGTGGGAGTTAATGGAGTAGAAAGCTCTTTCTACTGTGCCATAATGACTTTCAGACGTGTTTTGTTTTTTGTTTTTTGGCATTAGTAATATTAACAGATTGATTCCCTAAAACCATAGTTAACCCATAAAATAGCCCAGGGAAACCCAACTTCATTTGAGGTAGGGGCTGGAGTTGTGCATTCTGGAGCCTTGGGGGCCCAGACCCTCTGGACTGGCCTGTTCCTGCCTTCCGGCCCTGCCCTGGGTGAACAGGGTGAGGGGCTGAGCTGGGACATGCCTGTCTGTCTCCTGTCCTGTCCTCTCAGTTGCTGAGCAGTCAAATGGCAGTGGCTGCTTGGATGTTTACTTGGCGGCGATTTCTGCTGCTCCATTGTGATGATGGCTGCTTAAATTTCTGTATTTTGATTAAATGCCATCTCACTGTGCCTGTACTTGTTGTGCTTGAGTCCTGAGGCTGTTTTAGGAAAGGGTACAATTTTGTAAATGAAATGGAGAAAAATAAACAAAACAACCTGTGCTGCAAGACTGCGTGCTGCCCAGTGGAGCTCTCCCATCCGTCCCTCCCTCCCTGACTCCCTCCCACCAAAGGAGGGAGGTTCCCCTTCTCCATCCAAAAGTAACCTTTAGATGGGGGCTCCCAGTCACAGGGCCTTGGCTTTGGGGGGGCTGAGAACAAGCTGTTGTGACAGGCGGGGGCAGCGACTCACAGCGTGGGGGAAGACAGGCTGCTGAGGGCGGCTGGTACCCAAATTACCTTATGCTCCCATATGTGAAAGAGGCAAAACTTACTAGTGAGTAATACCAGCCTTCGGCTCGCCCATTCCCACCACCTGTTAAAGGAAAATGTGTCTTTCCCCCCTCAGCTCCCCTCTTTCCTCACCCACATGTGGAATTCCATGTTTGCCAGCCTGCCTCCTGGGATTTTGAGACATGGGATAGAGGGATGGGTGCAGACAGGACTACAAGAAACAGGAGGGAAGAGAAAAGGAACTAAAGTGGAGGGGTTTGTGGACTGGGCTTTCAGGAACGTTTTTGGTAGAGTTGAGAGTAAGATACAAAGTAAGTTTTAGGCTGGGAGAGAAAAGGTATTTTTTTTTCCTAAATAATTTATTGAGGTGAAATTCACATGACATAAAATTATCCTCTTTAAAGTGAAAAATTCAGTGGCGTTTAGTTACATTCACCATGTTGTGGAACCACCACCTATCTATTTCTGAAACATTTTCATCACCTCAAAGTAAAACCCTGAGAAAGGGTAGTTTAAGATGGTCGATACAGAATAGGAATTGGATCCCTTAATGTTCTTTAAGAGAAGTAAGTGAAAATCTCTTGGGGTTTGTTCTTAATAACTTGAGTTGTGGAATTTGGTAGGACTTTGACCTACCCAAACTAGACCATAAGGTCCCTGGGGGTTATTGGGTTCCATAAACACGTACAGTGATCCCACGGTTACCCCATTGCCCCCTGGCAGGAGACCTGCAGGAACACTTCACCCTAAACACAGCATTAGGTCCTGCACATCCCAGACTATGGGTCCCTCACAGTGGCCTTGGTATTTGTCATGACATGATTTCACCGGGTCAGATGTTGGGAGGGACAGGAGGCATTCTCTGTGATATGTCCTGTACCCACATCCTCTAAGGAGGGTCTGGCCTTAGTATCCCCCAGGAAAGGCCCCCACCAGCAGCTTTGGAGTTCAAACTTTGAGTATACCCAGAATTCTTGAAGTACCCTTCAGATAAGTGGAACTACTCACTCCCATCCATACATTCCCTGCAACTTCTCATTTCTCAGTCTTCTCAAGTATCCATCCCACCCGCTCTCTCCCCCAGTCCCTTACCCCAGATGACCAGGTGCTAATAGCCTTTTAACTTTCTCCATCTTCATATAATGACATAAGATTATATTCACATAGATATATAGATTATATATCAGATAGATGATAGATGATAAATAGATAAATCTCTGTATATGTAGGGTTTGGGGGAGTTCATTGCTTTCTCTGGAAAAATTAGATCATGGATTTTGTACATATTCTATTTCTCACTTAAAAATACCTTGTGGAAATCCCTCTGTCACCTGGTATGGTTCTAATACATTGTTTTGGCTTACATAATAATTCATGATGAGACTCTTTCATAATTTATCCATTATTTATCTTTCTCTTGAAAGACACTTTTTTGTTTGTTTTACGTTTCTGTCACTACAAACAGTGAAGCAATAAATATTCTTAAGCCTGTATGTTTATGTACTGATGCTTTTGCTTCTACCGAATAGATTCCAAGGTTGAAGGCCATGTGTATTTTAAAATTTATTATATATTTCCAGATTGTTTTCAAAAAGGCCCAAACATCATATTTTCAGTAGTAAAATATGGAGAGTGCTTTACCCACACCCCTACTAGCAACAGTCGCTATCACTCTTGTTTTAATATTTTCCATTCAGATCGTCGTAAAGTGATATTTCATCGTAAACTTAATTTGCAGTTTGTGGACTACTGGTGAGCTTGAGCATCTTTTCAAGTTTGTTGAGAATTTGGATTTGCTTTTCTGTGAATCATCTATTCATAGTCTTTGCCCATTTTTTGATTGGGCAATTTGTAGGAGCTCTTTTTATAGTATTGTTATTTATCATTTATCTGTCATCTGTAAAACTCTTTCCGTCCAAATGTATCGCTTACGTATTATCTTAGTGGCGTTTTCAATTTAAGTCAAATATGTCTTTCTTTCAGAGGTTCTGGGTTTCCTGTTACGATAAGAAGATTCCCCAACCCATGTATTTACCTAGATTTTCTTCTAAGCTATTTATTGTTTTATTTTATACAAATGTAACAAGTCTTATATATGTCTAAAATTTGTTTTTGTATATAGCATAAGATGGGATTCAACTTGTTCTAGTAAGTTGAGCTAGTATCATTTATTAAATAATCTATTCTTTCCCTGCTGTCTTGAATTATCAGCCTTGTATTAAATGCTCACATGTACCGGGATTGATTTTTTTCATCCCCTATTCTGTACCTCTTACTGTTGGTCTCTTCCTGTACTAATACACAATGATTTAATTACTATAGCTTTTTGGAGTGCTCTGATACTGATAAGGTTAGACGTCTCTTATTGTTATTCTTTTTCCTATTTTTCTTACCTTCTGAACATTTATTATCTGTGTAAGTTCTAAGCACATTTTATCCAATTAAAAAACAAAACCTGTTGGAGGCAAAGTAAGTCTGTGGTATTAGAAGTCAAGATAGTAGGTGGTTTCTCCTTGGTGTTGGGGGACACTGGGAGGGGACGGGATGGGGAACTTAAGGAGTGCTGGTTATGTTATATTTCTTTATGGGGATGTTAGTTACATGGGCACACTTATGGTTTGGCACTTTTCTGTATGTACACTATACTTCAAAACCAATTTACTTACAATCAAAAAATCTACTGGTGCTGTGGAGAGAAATCAAAGATTTAAATAAATGAAAGGGGGACCATGGCTGTGGATTGAGAGACTCAACATAGTAAAGATAACTAATTCTCTCCAAAGTGATATACAAATATAATGCAATTCCTATTAAAACCCCAGCCAAAAAAAAAAACCAAAACAACCCACAAACTACTGGGATTATAATTGGCATTGTATTACATTTATATTTGGGAGGAGAAGGAATTTGTTAAGATATTAACTCCTCTGAACAAATTGATTGGTGTTAAAATTTCTTCAGATTTTGCTTTGGTTTTTTTCATAAGGTTTTTTTCCATAGTCTTATGTTTCTTTTATATTTATCCCTCAATATTTTATAGATTTTGTCACTAAAATTAATTGAGTATTTTTCTTATTTCTATTTTTAGGTGAACATGCTATAGTATAGAGAAATGATTAATTTTTGTATGCGTTTCTGTAAAATTTGTCACCTTACCAAATTCTTCATTAATTTGAGTGTTTTTTTAAAACTAGAGTTTCCTGGGTTTTCTAGTAATGGAGTCATGTGGTCAATGGAAGAAAATATTATCAAATACTTATGTCAGTTACTTAATTTTATGTTCTTATTGTATTTTCTAAAAACCGCCAAGCCAATGTTAAACAGGAACATTAATAGCAGGCTTAAATCTGAAAAGAAGAGATAAAACCATGAGCAAAAAGAAATATTCCAATACTTTATTTCTTCTTTCACATGCTTGTACTAATCACTTCATTTTCTTACCTTATGACATTTGTTTTAATCTCTGAATCTTGAAGAAAATGTTGAGTTACAGTGGCAATAGTGGGCATTTTTGTCTGGATTTGATTTTAATTGAAGTGCTTTTGGTGTTTGACCAATGAGAATGATATTGGCTATTGGTTTTTGATAAAGAGACTTTATTATATACAACAGCTATCATTTCATTCTTATTTTCCTTAAAGCTTTAATATGGATGGCTGCTGAATTTTATCAAATGCCTTTTCAGGAACTATTGATAGGGTATGGTTTTTCACTTTTAATTTATTGATGAAAAAATATATGTTGATAGATTTCTTGATGTTGTGCTTTGTAATCCTAGAATAAACTCTGCTTAGTTACAGTGTATTATTTTTTTTGCCACATGGCTAGATTCTATTTGTTAATATTTTATCTAGCATTAAAATCATGCTTGCTTCATAAAATAAGTGGAGAAGCTTTCAATTTTTTCCATGGTCTAGAATAAATTAATTAACACTGATGTTATCTATTCTTTGAAGATTAGAAAGCTGAGCTGTTAAACCATCTGTCCTGATACCCTTGTTAATGGTTGATATTTAACAACCTTTCTTTTCTCTCCCACTCTCCCACTGAAAATTCAGGTTTTCACTTGGATTAATTTTGGTAATTTCCTCTAGATCTTCAAATTTATTGTCATAGAATTAGCATATAATAAATTCTTATAATTATTTTAATCTCTTCTGTATCTGTGATGATGGCTCTTTTTTCACTCCCAATTTTGTCTATTTTTTTAAATTGAGGTATAATTGACACAGAACATTATGTGTTTCAGGTGTTCTTGTTTATTTATTTATTTATTTTTTAATCATCCAAAATTATTGTATTATTCTTAATTAGAGCAACGCTCTTGGGACCGTTGATGTCATCTGCAGCTTTTGATCCATGTCGGCTATGTGGCTGAGACAAATCTGGGATGTGGGGGGACGGACGTGTGGGAAAGGGTGGGGCATCCCGACCCAGCCCACCCCTGAGCCCCTGAGTCCCAGGGCAGATGCTGGCGGGCAGGTGGCTCTGGGCTCTCACGTCTGGGGAGCGTTCTTGTTTATTTTTTTGTTCTCACTTTTCTTTAAACAGACTAGGGAAGGGTTTATCAATTTCAGTGAACTTTTTAAGAACAAGCCTTTGGATTTGTTCAGTAGTGTCTCATACGATTTTCTTTTCTATTTAGTTCACTCCGCTTTCATGTTTACTAACTCTCTTTTAGAAGACTTTATCTTCCTCCTTCCTTCACCTTTCTCTCTCCAGAGGAGATATAATAAATGCTTTTGCTTTGTTGCCTCATCTGTCTCCCACTTCTGGGTTTTGCTGAGATAACAAAAGAGTTTTTCATTCTGGATTATTATTATTATGAGAATTTCCTTGGAATGTTCCTTGCCTGTTTCAAGAATCCTCATTTAGAATTTGTATTACACGTTCTCAGGCAACCTACTGTTATGGATTTAGATATTACACATATTTATATAAATAGCAAGCTTCATAGCTCACTACTCTTTCCTTTTACTTATTCTTCTTTTCCTGATCTTGAGGTCTCTGCTATGATTCATTTGTTGTTTAATTAGAGCCCTTTCTTTAGTATTTTCCCCAGATAGCGCGTGGGAATAGTATATTCTCTGAATTCTTGCACACCCCAAGTATCTTTCTTTCTCGCTGACAGATGAAGGCTAACTTGGCCAGCAGAGGAATCCTAGGTTGCAGTCCTTTTTCTCAAAAGTCCATAAATGTTACTGTCCTAGTTTTCAATGCAGCAGAGTTGAGTGCCAATGTGATTCTCCTTTCTTATTCTTTTTACCTGTAAACCTGAAAGATTTATTGCTTTACCTTTGGAATTTGGAAATTGACCAAGATACACCTGGGTATAGAATTTGGTGAAAACTTGCAAGACAGGTACTGGTCTTCCCTCATCTGTACCAAATTTTCTTGCATCAATGTTTGTTGCGTCTCTCCAGCTGTTCCTCCTTCTCCTTCTGGAATTTCTGTTTTCCCTATGGAAGCCATCAGTTCTGTGGTTTGAATTGTTTCTTCCACTTGATCCTCTAGGCCCTGAATTGAGTCTCAACACTGACTATCCTACTCTTTACTCAATTTGTTTTAATTTGAAAATCACATTTGCCCATTTAAATTCTAGGCTGTCTTCTGAAGGTGTTTTAAACATCTCCTCAGCACCTCTTATTACTGTTATTTTTTGTATAGTTTGTAGACGATCTCCTCCAGTAGCTCCAAAATTTTACAAGTCTTTATTTTTTATGTTTTGATTGCTTTGTTTATTATTTCTCTCTCTCTAGCTGTAGTCCTTCTCTGATGTATTATTTTTCTTTGTTTAATCCTTGGGGTTTGGGTATAGTTGCTAAGAGCCTTCTGCAGCATCACTTCTGAGAGTAGTGGAAGGCCCTGTGGTCTCTGTTGCAGGGGCTGCCAGTGGAGCAAACGGTGGGTTGTCAGATCCCTGTGAAGGCACCACGGGAAGGAAGACTTTAGGTTTCCTATCTTTTCAAGAGATCCCAACCTCAAGGATGAGATCACTAACTTCCCTTTTCAGCTCTTGAGTTGGAATATACCAGTGGATACAGACATGCCCTGGGGTGGGCAGTCCCTCAGGCCAGCTCCCCCAAGATCCTCAGTGTTCAGACCCTCACATGAGTCCTTCAGACACTAGTGGCCAGGCTCTTAGGTGGCCCAGAGGGGGAAAAGTCATTTAATTGCACAGGCGCCCCCTTACCAGTTGCCAGCATCTGTCTGGATTAGGTAGGATAGACAGTCTGGAATTGTGGTTGTGAGGGAAGGGTGGTCAGGACATCTTCCCTAGTTCCTGCTCATTTCTACAAGTCAAAACTCTATCCATCCTTAAAGGTTGTTTTAGAAAACCACTTCATTTATGAATCTCTTTCTGATCCTCATGTCCCAGTGGCTCTCAACTCTGGCTGAACATTGGTATCTCCTGAGGAGCTTTAAAAAAACACCAGTGCCTGGGTCCACCCTGAAAGATTCTGATTTAACAGGTTGGGCTCTGTGATTTGTAAAGCCCTCCTGGCGACTCTACCAGATACAGCCTGATTGAACATCACTCATCTCACCTGATGTGATCATTCCCTCCCACCTTCTCACAGTATCCATTCTTTCCTGTGTTATACCTTTCAGGAACGAATTTTATCCTCCTACCAGTAAGCTTCTTGAGCTCATTCATTTATTCACGCAGTAATTATCATTTGTTTCTTTCATTAACTCATTCATTTATTCATTCAACAAACATTTAATGTCTATTGTACTCCAGGTGTCAGACCCTGGAAGATTCAAAGATGAATAAAAGTCTCTGAGAAAATATATTTACAGACTTGTGTGAGTTTAGTTAGGGTTTTTCAAAGGAAGAGGATCTTCTCGCACTTTTCCCTAAAATAAACTGGGAGGAAACTGCTATGGACTGCTTGCCTGAAAAGTGCTTTTGTGAGCAAAGGTGCTATCACAAGTTCAATTTTTAAAAATCCAGATAAATAAATACCGCAGTGTCAATTGTTGACAGAGACAAGTGGGAAGATCCAGAGAGATCTGTGAGTAGGCAAACCTCAAAAGCCACATAGCACGCAGGCTTGTGTCACTAGCAGCTGATGCTTCCTAACCCAGAATCTAAACTCTGGGAAGAAATGATGGCAAAGTTATCTTTTCTTGCCACAAATTTCTCTTTTCTTCCAGAAGTGGGTGTATTCAGAGGCACTATATGAATAACGTTTGCTCTGAGTCATGGAAATGAAAAAACATTTCTGACTATGAAGTTTTGGGTGCAGTGTAATGTTTGCCGGCCCCCTGTACACACTGGTGAGGAGGGAGTGTTTTGGAGGTGGGACTCCCTGCCTGAGAACTGGGTGATGATGCAGTTCTGGCCCCTCTGGGACATTTTCCTCCAAGGTCATGAGCACCCCTCACACACAACTGGGTGCCCAGGTGGTCTGTTTTCATCCTGAGTGAACATTTGTGTGGACCAGCTTTCACAAATGGGCAGATGGAATGCCAGAGGAAGGGGTGTCTATGATGACAGGCTGTTTTAGGCTAAATTCTATAAGCTCCAGACACAGTAAGGAAAATTGGCTTCTGAGTTAGAACCAAAAATGCCACAAAGTTAGAGTAATTTTTCCCTCTCTTATTTATTGCATTTAGAGTCCCATCTTACCTATCTGGAACCTAGCCAAGAACCAAGAAAGTGGGCTTCCCTGGTGGCGCAGTGGTTGAGAGTCCGCCTGCCGATGCAGGGGATACGGGTTTGTGCCCCGGTCCGGGAGGATCCCACGTGCCGCGGAGCGGCTGGGCCCGTGAGCCATGGCCGCTGAGCCTGCGCGTCCGGAGCCTGTGCTCCACAACGGGAGAGGCCACAGCAGTGAGAGGCCCGCGTAACGCAAAAACAAACAAACAAAAAACAAACAAACAAAAAAGAACCAAGAAAGAAACCAAAAAATAAAAATTTTACAAAAGGCTCTAATAAGTGTAGCTGGAGATAGTGGAAGTCCTACCGTGTGGCCACTCAGGCACTTTCCATCTAGGAAGACCCAGCTCTCACCCAACAGCCATTTTCTTTTCTTTACACACAGTTTTAACAAGTTTGAGGATCTGGTTATCCAAACCTAAATGGATAGTTTCACGTTGGAAGCGATGTAATGGATGCTATAGACATGCGCACTGACAGCCGTGAGAAGCAAGCAGGAGACAGAAGAAAGGAAATGTGCGTACAGCGGCATGTCTCCATCTTTTTAGCCCACGCTGCTTTCAATAAATGTGAACATTTCGCCTTCTTCCAGAGTTTCTGACACCTCAGGTAGATACACCCTCCCTCCTTGCCACACTGGCTGGCCTGAGAAGTGGACTCTGAGTTGGAGGTTGGCACACAGGAGGTTTATTAAAGAGTGAGCGTGGCATCCATGCTGTGGAAGGGAGGGCAAGGAAGTAGGAGTCACTTCTGGAAAAAAGAGAGAAATTTGTGGCGAGAGAAGGGAACTTTGTTGTTTTTTTTGTGGAGTTTAGATTCCAGCTTGAAAATTCAAACTACAGTGTAACCCGACAGTGGCCTTAGCCAACTCCAAGGAAAGAGCTGGAGCTAGCATAGTTCTTCTGAGTTGTCCTCAGTTGGATGAAGATGTCCATCTTATATTCCTGTATTGAAGGTCACTGAACATAAGCTGTCTAGGCTCCTTGGGTGCAGAGGCTCTCAGAAGGGGCTGACAGATGAAAGCTCTCTGTTGACAACGCTCTCTGCAGCTGAGGCAAAAGTCCTTCATGGAAGGAGACCTGGCTGGCACATCACAGTGTCCACCAAACGCCATGACTCATCCCCTGGAGGGCTAGGATATTCTCACCTTCTCTGTGTCTCACTTGATTGATGGCTATGACAGAGACTCCTAGGTATCCATCAAATATCATTCCAGATATTCTTGTAATGATAGCAGGGCTAGAATATATTACTTTCCTGTCATCCTCATTAGTAGGTATAGCCATTGGCTTTGGCCAGTGAGATATAAACATCAATATGTGTGGAGATCTGGAGAAGCCTTTGCAGAAGTTGATGGCTCAGCTTTCTCCCTTCTTCCTTTCCACTACCAGTGATGTGGACCAGTTAGATGGGCTCTGGCAGCCATCTCGGACCAAAAGGTAACTTTAAAGACAGAAGCTATGTACTTGCAAGGTAGATCAGAAGAACAAGAGGAACCTGACTCTGCAGTGACACTGGAGCCGCCAGACCACATCTGGACTGATGTCTCTGGACTTCTTTTTATAAGAGAAATAAACATCTATCTTGTTTAAACAATTGTTATTTTGAGTTTTCTGTTTTACAGCCAAATTTGACCCTGGCAGTTTCAAGGGCCAAGCTCTACTGGGGATTTCTTATGGTTGAGATAGAGATTTTTGCTTCCTTAATAATTCTGGAATCTATCTCCTCTCCATTGCCCCTGTTCCTTGAGTGGAAGTCCTTACTGTTTCTCCATTGAATCTTCACCCCCTCCAATAAGTAGTCTGTACCACTGCCAGAGGGATCTTCTAAATGACAAGTTTGATTATATCACTCCCACTGTTAAAAACCTTTCCAGAGGCTGGTAAGCTCTGACTTGTTTGTGATAGGATGTTTTGTCTTATGAATTGAATATTAGGACCTGAGCATGTCCTACTCTATATTTGTGCTTATTTTGTTATGCGGTTTATATCATGTGTCCATATGTATCCAAGGAACATTGCTAGAAACATCACTGGAAGTTCCTGCAGGAGAGGAAGCCACTGGTGAGCACTGTATCCTACAATAGCCAATGAAAGAACATAAATTTATTTGCTAGTAAGCTGGGCGTTGGGCACATCTAAACCCACTTAGGAATCATAGTCCAGCAGCCACCTCTTTCCCCAACCACGCAATCTTACTCCTCTTAGTAACATTCCATTGCTCTCTGAGCCATTCCATTTTTCCTTCCTGTATCAGTGCTCTGATCACTCCCAGGATTTTTTTGCAATGAAAATGCGGATTACAGACCCACTGCTGAACCTTTAGTCACCTCTAAAGCTCCATTGGATGAATTGCTTCCATTGGTTTTCAGAAGCTATCAGTGGGTTCCATTGTGTTGTTTTACTATATCAATATTCTCCTTCCCGTGAAGATGTCTTTGCCTTTATTTTTGTGTGTGGTGCATTTAAAAAAACGTTTGTTCTGAGATCTTTGTAGATTCACATACTGTTGTGAGAAATAATAATACCCTTCACTTGATTTCTTCCAATGGTAATATCTTAGGTGATTTTCGTACAGTATCACAATCAAGAGATTGACATTGATACAATCTGCATTAATTTTAAAAAAAATTATTGTTTTCCTTCTTTTTAGATACATTATATACTTAAAAGGCAGTAACTCTTGCACCGTCAAGTTGTAGTAGAAAATATACAATGTACTCTTTTTACTTCTGTTCGTGTGTATTGTACAGAGCCTGTGTGCTTTTTGTAATGTAAATAAAAAAATTTTAAGAGCTCCTTTTCCGCCTTGGGATAAAGTCTGGAAGTCTTTACATAGCCTTCAAGCCGCTCCAAGTTCTGGCCCTAACTCCTCACCCTTATCCATTGCCACTCCTTACTTGGTCCCCTCACACCCCACTTTACAGATCTCCACTGCCTGAAACACCCTCTTCTAACTGGATCTAGATAATTCCCATCCATCTTTCAGCTTAAACAAAGTCTGTAACTCCTAGAAGCATTAGCTACCCTCTCTCTCAGGCTGGGTTAGATACCTTTTTATTTTTTACTTCCTTCATGCCTGGCACAAAGAAGATGCCCAATAAATATTTGTTGAATGAATGAGTAAATGAGTGAATACCTCTAACCAGTTTAAGAGAGTTGGAATAAACTGACTACTTTTTTTTCATTACCTAATTCTAGATTCCACTGTTGGGAAGACTCCTGTTTAATTGCCTTCATATGGGCAGCACCTCGCACAATGCCCTGCATATACTAAGTGTTCAGTATGTGATGATGGATGACCAGAAAGGAGGTGGGAATTGAGACAAGAAGAGCAGTGTGAGCACAGGCTAGGAGATAGTGTGTTCCAGGGCACCGAGTGGACCGTTTGGCTCAGAAAAATCATTTTATAGGTCATTTAATCCATTTGACCAGAAAGTCTGGCTTATGTCACTGGTTATCTTAATAACAGATATTTTCCCGGTCCCTCTTGCTCCTGCACCACGAAAATAAAATATAAAAGAATCCGCAGCTTCTGCAACCCTCAGTTCTGTGAACATCGTTAACCCCCATGGGCTCAGTTAGCGCCTGTGCTCATCAATAGCCATTCCCGGGATCCTAGGATCCAGAATCAAAGGGAGTGATTAGTTAGATCTGCTACGTTCACCTTCAGAAAGGTAAGATTCACCTGAATGCTCATGTAAACTTAAAATGACCTTCTGCATAGCTATGCTATCATTAAAATTTAAAGGGACACTCTCAGTACAGTATTTTAGGGCAACATGGAGCTCCTGGAGCTGGAGTCCACAAGCCAGTTTTGCAGCCGGTGGTTTCTCTGGGCACCTGCAGCAGTGGCACATGCTCCTACCCGTGAGACGTTCCTTTCCAGGGGGTTGGGTGCACTCCCAGTGAACCAGAGACAGGGTCTTGGGAGGTGAACGCCCCCAGTTTTGAACCCTGGTTCTGCTTCTCTCCTAACATGGATTTAGCCTTCTCCATTTCCACATGTGTAAAATATGATGGTCCTACCTCATTGGGTAGTTGTGAGGATCCTTGGGGGGCAATGCATGGGAACTTACAACAGGACCAGGCACGTGGCAGGTTCTTGATAAATGTTTTATCATCATTGTTATTATAAAAGAATCACAATTGACCATGGAGTATGGGGGGCTCAGGGACAGAGGTGGGTGTTCTTATAGGCACCTCTCTGAGTTTTTCATTTTGTTAGCTTACTGGTGCATAGATATAATTAATATTAGGTTTACCACTTGTGGAAAGCTAAATAATGCCCCATCCCCAAAGATATCTATGTCCCAATCCCTGGAACCTGTGAATGTCACCTTAAATGGCAAAAAAAAAAAAAAAAAAAGACTTTGCAGATGTGATTAAGCAGGGACCCGAGTATAGGCCCTGAACCAAGATGGCGAAGTAGAAGGACGTGCTCTCACTCCCTCTTGTGAGAACACCAGAATCACAACTGGCTGCAGGACAATCATCAACAGGACACTGAAACTCACCAAAAGAGATACCCCACATCCAAAGACAAAGGAGAAGCCACAATGAGACGGTAGGAGGGGTGCAATCACAGTAAAATCAAATCCCATAACTTCTGGGTGGGTGACTCACACACTGGAGAACAATTATACCACAGAGGTCCACCCACAGGAGTGAAGGTTCTGAGCCCAATGTCAGGCTTCCCAACCTGGGGGTCCGGCAAGGGGAGGAGGAATTCCTAGAGAATCAGATGTTGAAGTCTAGTGGGATTTGATTGCAGGACTTTGACAGGACTGGGGGAAACAGAGACTCCACTCTTAGAGGGCACACACAAAGTAGTGTGTGCATCGGAACCCAGGAGAAGGAGCAGTGACCCCATAGGAGACTGAACCAGACCTACCTGCTAATGTTGGAGGGTCTCCTGCAGAGGCAGGGTGTGGCTGTGGCTCACTGTGAAGACACGGACACTGGCAGCAGAAGTTCCGGGAAGTACTCCTTGGCGTGAGCCCTCCCAGAGTCTGCCATTAGCCCCACCAAAGAGGCCAGGTGGCTCCAGTGTTGGGTTGCCTCCGGCCAAACTAGCAACAGGGAGGGAACACAGCCCCCATCCATCAGTAGTCAAGTGGATTGAAGTTTTACTGAGCTCTGCCCACCAGAGCAACAGCTCTACCCACCACCAGTCCCTCCCATCAGGAAACCTGCACAAGCCTTTTAGATAGCCTCATCCACCAGAGGGCAGGCAGCAGAAGCAAGAAGAACTAAAACCCTGCAGCCTGTGGAACAAAAACCACATTCACAGAAAGGTAGACAAGATGAAAAGGCAGAGGGCTATGTACCAGATGAAGGAACAAGATAAAACCTCAGAAAAACAACTAAATGAAGTGGAGATAGGCAACCTTCCAGAAAAAGAATTCAGAATAATGATAGTGAAGATGATCCAGGACCTCGGAAAAAGACTGTAGGCAAAGATCTAGAAGATGCAAGAAATGTTTAACAAAGACTTAGAAGAATTAAAGAACAAACAAACAGGGCTTCCCTGGTGGCGCAGTGGTTGAGAGTCCACCTGCCGATGCAGGGGACACGAGTTCATGCCCCGGTCTGGGAGGATCCCACATGCCGTGGAGTGGCTGGGCCCGTGAGCCATGGCCACTGGGTCTGCGCGTCCAGAGCCTGTGCTCCGCAACGGGAGAGGCCACAACAGTAAGAGGCCTGCGTACCGCAAAAAATAAATAAATAAATAAATAAATAAATATATGTAGTTGATTATTGAAACCCTGTGAATGGTTTCAAGGTTCTTCAGATTGTGTGCATTAAGTTATTCCAAAGAAACTCATTTTTGGCTTTAACATTTTCAATGTATTGACCCTTACAGATTTGTTTTAGAGCAGAAATACCAAAAGCTGAGTGGAACCCACTGATCAGTTTGTCCTCCAAAGTGGTGCCCATGCAGAGACAGATGACCTAATAACAACAGGTGTTTATTTGGTGAGAACTTAGTGATCAATGCTTCACGTTTGTCATCTCATTTAATCTTTACCCATCTCTGGGGAAAGATTTCTTGTTTTTTCTCACTTTTCCAGTGAGAACCCTGAGGTTCAGTGAAGTGACCTGCCCCAAACATACGTATGTACAAGGGGCAGGGCTGAGGCTGTGATCTAGGCCCCCCTGAACCCACCCCCAGCGGCCTGTCTGTGGGGAAACCGGGCCGGGACCAGTAGACTTACTAGTAGATAAACCCCTAAATGCACTCATGCAGCTGACTTTTTGAAGCTAAGTGAGGGATATTACATTCCTTTCTCCTCATTCATATTTTGTTAATTCAGCCCAACATTTTAGCCGGTCGAGATATTTTTAGACTAGAAAACCAGTGCAATTCTGAGGATTAAGCTACTCTAATTCCATTGCACTTTCCTACATCTGGCAGAGGGGGCATACCTTTATGTAAAATTAAAAGCCAATGAAAGTTAAAAAATCTTTTTTTAAAAAAAATTTGTCAGTAAATCTGCTTTCTTCCAGTTATTCACAAATGAAACATGCTGTGCTGGTTTCTGAAAACCAAGACGCCTGGAGAGAAATTTATGACTTCAAAACAAAATTTAGAGGTTGAGGGATTTAGCAGTTTGCAAGGAACACAGAGCTAAGCCTGTGAGAAAGGCTGTTCAAAATGTCCTGGCCTGAAGGGCCAGGGTCTTTTTCAAAGGTCCCCGAAGAGGCTCTTAGGCATCTGAAAGGGTGCAAATGGGGAGAGAGCATTTTGAAGACATCTTTCCACTGGGAACTGGCGCTGGCCAGATTGTGCGTTTTCCCACACAAACGTGCTCACCCTTCTGTGAGCCAGGCATTTCCTGTGCACCGCGGGTTTTGTTATCCTTCCTTCTTTTTTTTTCCTTCTCAGGGAATTATCCCAGATTTTTAGCCAGCCGTCTCTGCCATATTTTCTCTCAGAGCTTAGTCACACTCCCATATATGGGAATCCTTATCACATAGCTAACTCCCCAGCTAGGACATTTTATAGGAATTGTTTAGTGCATTGTGGGCTTTCTAAACTAAGTAATCCTCAGGATGGAATGGCAACAACGGCAGCAAGCATGAGTGTGTGTGTGTGTGTGTGTGTGTGTGTGTGTGTGTGTGTCTTTCTGTCTGTCTGTGTTTCAATAGCCTGTTTTGCTGCTAAAGCATATTTGACAAATTCAAACTCAAGGTTTCATCCCCTTCAGTAGTTTTTGGATTGCAAAGTGAATTTTAAACTATTTAGAAAGGAATCTGCATTTATTGCCTAGGAGTAAAGTTGCAAGTCACGATGGGAGATTTTTTTCCCATAATAAAGGGTTTCAAATCCCCTCCACATTTGGACACTTTCTCTGCCTAGGCAGCAACAGCATACGGTTAGAAAGAATTACTCAGTCACAGGATAGTCCAGCTTAAATAAACAGAAATAAGATGAGCACCACAGAGTGGTCTTTTAGCAGATTTTCTTGCCTTGTGAGGAGTGCAGAAAGGCAAACATGAAATGCTATGGCTCTCATACAGTTATGCAATGAATTATGCTGTTCAGAGAATTTGCACATCTTTTTTCCCTTGGACAACCTAATTCCTCTTACCAGAAACCTGAGGTTCCAAAGGACAAGTCATTTCCTTGATAATACACAGCTTATAACACTCCCGATTCAAAAACTCCAATTGTTTTTGTTGTTCAAGTCCAAACTCCTTAGCACAGAATTTAAGGTTTAACAAACATTTAATAAGCATCTATACAGTCACGTACCTGTGGTTAGGCACCATGAGGGGCAAAGATGAATAAGACT